GCATCGCACGTGTAATTTGATTAAAGATGTAAAACAGTGTAACCAAATAAATTTTAAAAATTTCCCTTTGTTATAAAAGTCTGTGTAAATATCTGTGAAAAACCAAAAAGTCTGTAAATGTCTGTACCGAAAAAAAAGCCTGTGAAAAAATAAAAGTCTGTAAATTCACAGACATGTCTGTAAATCTGGCATCTCTGGTCCCACATCAAATTGCATCACGGAAAAAACGCAGTAGAAAATTATCTAGTTGAGTGATCCTTGTCAAGCTTTCAGACAATAAAATATAACCCATCAGTAAGCTTTTGGCATATTTATTTCATTCAACTTCAATACCGTAGCCGTACGCTCGCACCTTACGCTTAGCTCCACTCATTAGGTTATGTACAACATCTGGCTGCAGCTTCTGCTGTACGGAAACCCACGCTTCCTCAGATTTGTCCTCTTTGGGATGCTTCCGTAGTGTCTGCTTCCTAATAGCCCAGTATTTTTCGATGGGCCTTAGTTCTGGGTACGAAAGTGACCTCGTTGGCTTCGTACCACTCCAGGACAACATTTGAATAGTGGCACGAAGCTAGATCCGGCCAGAAGATCGTAGGGCCCTCGTGTTGCTTCAACAGAGGAAGCAGACGCTTCTGTTGACACTCCTTGAGGTAGATCTCCCCGTTTACACTCCCGGTAGTCACGAATGGCGCACTCCGTTTGCCACATGAGCAGATCGCTTGCCAAATCATGTATTTCTTGGCAAATTTTGAAAGTTTCTGCTTCCTTACTTCCTCCGGAACATCAAACTTGTGCTGAGAGATAAAGAACAGTAGCCCCGGAAACTGCCGAAAGCCCGCCTTGACATAAGTCTCATCATCCATGATGAGACAATGAGGCTTCGTCAGCATCTGGGTGTACAGTTTCCGGGCCCGTGACTTTCCCACCGTATTTAGCCGTTCGTCACGATTTGGAGCCTTCTGCACTTTACTTTGTACGTGACTGCATTTACCCGGTCCTTAGCTCTCTGAACGGAAGACTTGGACAGATTCAACCTTTTGGCCATATCCCTGACCGAAGCATTGGGATCCGCTTAAACGCTTTCACGACACGCTTGTGATCCTGATCAGTAATAGAACATCCGTTCTGAACGCATTTCTATTTCCATTCGATGCTCAGAGTTTCGAAGTAACGTTCATACGACTTACCGTTGACTGCACGATTCTGAGTTGTTTTCCGATGTCCCGGTAAGAGAGTTGAGGATTTTCCAGGACAGCGATAAAACAAAAGTGTAAACAATACACTCTAAACTACTTCTACCCAAATTTTCAAGAGAAAATACGTAATGGGCGTTTTCTCCGTGATGCAATTTGATGTGGGACACCCTTTAGCGTAGGTTTTAGTGTATTCCAATCCATGCTTCTGTTGAAAGTCCTTGGCTACTAGACGCTTGAAAGTTCTGTCAGAACTTTATTCGAACTTTATGGAACTTGAAAGTTCGGTCGGAACTTTATTTGAACTTTATGGAACTTGGAAGTGATTTTTTAATCGTAATATGTGGAACTTTTGGTAACTTGGGAGTTGGGAGTGACTGCGCATGGAGGAGATATTTTAGTGTTTACCTCGCACGACAACATTCGGCGTCTGTCCACCGCCAAAATTTGGATGTTGGATGGGACGTTTGCTACTGCTCCTTCATGAATTAAGCAAATCTATTCAATCCTGGGATCCATAGGTTCTGGCGATGCGTTTAGGTATTTGCCTTTGGTTTTCATGTTCCTCCCAAACAAAAGTGAGGAAACGTACACGCGTGCTATGGAGGAGGTGGTTAGAATTTCGGAAGGCATTGGTGTTGAGCTAGACCCAGAAGTGGCTCTTGCCGACTTCGAGCGAGCTGCTATTAATGTAATAGGGTCGATTTTCCCTGATTGTTGGCGTCAGTGTTGGCAAAATCAGAAATCAATTGACATTTTTCGGCTCTCATGCGCTCGCAATATCACGCGTGATATTGGAACAAAATATCATGCTTGATATTGATTTTACAAGCTCCTTTGATATTGCGAGACTATTCACAACGTGCAAAAATCAAGCTAAGAGTTGACTCGACACAAAAATGACTCCATTGCACATCATTTTCTAAGAAAGAGAAAGCATAGTTTGCTATCTCTTTTTAATCTTCACCAATGGCAGACGCGAAGGGACTGCAGCAAGCCGTTATGGAAGTTGCATTTCGGTTGCATTCGGGAGTAAAGCAAAAATCATTTAACTAAATCTCACCACAGCTTGGTGAGATTTGCAGTTGGTGAGTTTTGTTAGCTTGATATTCCGAGCTGCGATATCACAGCTTGCAAAATCAACCGCAGTTGTTTGCTTGTTGATTTTTGTCTACGAAAATCAAGCGTGATCTTGGGCGTTGGTGAGATTTGATTTTTTTTTTTATATTTTTCCAACACTGGTTGGCGTCAAGGATGTTTTTTTTTCTTCCATCTGACACAATTTTTTTTTAAAGAGTTCAAACCAGTGGACTCTGTGGGGTGTACGCCAAGGACAAAAACATTTTCATGACCTTCAAGAAAATTGAAGCACTCGCATTTGTCCCTATAGAGCAATTGGAGAAAGCGTTCATGATCATTGCTGAAAGTGGTCCTCCAGTAATGGAAGAGTTTATGAAATTTATTGAAGAATATTATGTTCTGGGTAAAATTCGGAAGATGAGTGTCGCGAATCGATGGATCACAGCACACCAGCCGAACCAATCACACACTTGCACACTACAACCATTCGCTTCAATATCCATTACAAGACTGCCTCATTCATACCAAACACTCATAGACTAAACACTCAGGCCATGCCGTGGTTCGTTCAAGCATGCAGTTGTGTGTGTCAGATAGCGAATTCGTTTATTATCGGTGCGAAACCGAACTTTTTGTCAGTGCGAACCTCAACCTGAGCTAAGTTTTAAAAACAAACGAGCAAACTGACGTTTGTCAGAAAACAAGCAGACCCAATCCAGGTTGGAACTGAATAATAAACGAATTCGCTAAGAGTGTGTTTATTCAAATCATACTATACGCTGACTAGATTTCACTCAAGTTCAGTGTAAGACGACTTAAGTTTTCATTTTATTTAATGCACTAAAACATTATTATCATTATCATTATTATTTACCAACCATATCTACCACAATGAGGAGTGACGGAACTGCAGTGAGGGGAAAACTTACTTTCCATTATGCACTTTAGAACGTGTATGAATGTGTTTTAAAGCATCAACCAAGAGCCACCAACAGACTAGAAGGATGGCACAATAGGTGGAAGACAGTGTCAAATCAAGCTGGTTTCTACCAGACGATTGAAAGTTTGCAAAAGGAGTAAAAATTACTGAGGGAGAACCAATGAATGTCCTTCAAGGAATTCAGGCTCTAAAGCGGAATCCGAAGAAAGTAGAGAAGGACACTAGGTTTTTTGGATTAGTTAGTATTTTTTCTCCTAGATTATCTACTTGGCATTGCTCTTGTTTAAAAAATATTAGTTTTATTTTTATTATGGTTTAATTGTTCAAGTCAATAATGTGTATAAGTAAATAAATAATAAAAAAAAAACAAACAATAATCTTGTAATGACAACATTAAAACAAAAACTTTCATATCGAATGTATTGTCCTAAATGTTGGAACTTTGAATTCATTGACTGTTTTTGCATCGACCTTTCAATTTATTGAATATAGCGGAAATTGCTCTAATGTTGGCCTATGGATCTAAGAATAGTCCCATCACTAAAAATCTGTTATCTGTTACAATCTTAAACTTGAAAAACAACCCATTAGAAACTGAATCCAAATATATACTCCAGTTGTCTCCCCCTAGATTCTACCTCGATATGAATCAAGGATAACCCCAACTAATCTGATCTTAACCATAAATTCACATCCCTCCTAGTATAACTTCCAAACACAAGCACCAGCAGCACTAAGTCAAACCAAATCACCCGGTGTTAAATACAACTTGGTAAAACGGAAAACAAAATAATTAACTCCCAGAACCGGTGCCTTCCTCACATGCATGCACGCACCTTCAATTGCGCCGGCCGTTGTTACACTTCTCTCGAAAGTATTGCCTCACATATGGATTTGTGCACGCTTTAAAATAATAATATAGTTGTCGGCTTGGGAAAACAAACTTTTCCCCCGCCCCTTCCCACCCTAGTTGGAAATAGTTGCCGTGCCTCCAGTAGTGCTCGTCGTGGTTAAGCTGCTGCCTTCTACCGGAAATAAATTATGATATGCGAAATGAGACGGTCGTCGTCGTCGTCGTCGGCCCCAGGAATTTCTTCATCGGCGTGTATTGCTAGGAACGCGCGTAGTTGGCACCATATTCATACACGCGTGTTCAGCGCGAAAAGTGGCTCTCACATACACACAAACACACTCAAACACACGCAGACACGAGAGGCGTGAAATTATCCTCTAATTAATTCTCGGAAAGCTTGTTTCGCCGGTCTCCGCCCAGCCAACCAACCAACCAACGGCTGGAGTCCTGGGAGTTTTATGTGCGTCGGTTTCGACCGAGCTCAAATTGGCGCGGGAAGTGAATTTGTAGGAAGTTTGAAATAATTTGCAACCTGAGAACCGCCAGTGGCTAGGTGGTGTGAAAAATTCTTGTTATTGCTTGAGGGAAATTGCGGCGCTAATTGGGCGTTTGAAGGAATTTTCCACGCGTCAATGGAGGTGGACCATTGGCACCTGTTGGTTAGTTTGAGAATCGGGGCAAATGTTTGCAATCACCTTCCGGAAATGATTGACGTCACATGACTTGTTGCACCTTGAAACCTGTTTTACACATGCACCTTCCGGTGCAAAAAAAAACAGCGAGCTTTGTTCTTAATAAGGGCTTGTTCTTTATTCAGCGACATTTCGTCGTTTATTCTTGCTAAATCCGAAATTTAAAATGCAATCTCTTAGAACAAAACCACGGATCGTCAATTATTCAACTGCCTTTCTTTTGTTGCAAATTTAATTTCCAGGCCAAAAAGTGGTTCGATGTTGCTCTACTCACGAAAGAAGGTTCGCTACCGGCGCGACGGCTATTGTTGGAAAAAGCGAAAAGATGGCAAGACAACCCGCGAAGACCACATGAAGCTTAAGGTGCAAGGCACTGAGGTAAGTTCATCGTTTCCCTCTCAACCCCAACAATGGGAACCTTGTAACTGACCTGTCCCATTATCTGATTCGCTAGTGCATTTACGGTTGCTACGTGCATTCGGCCATCCTACCAACCTTCCACCGGCGGTGCTATTGGCTGCTTCAAAATCCAGACATTGTCCTCGTCCACTATCTGAACGTCCCCTATCCGGACGACAACAAGATGGCGGTCATCACTCCGAACCTGGCCCTTTGGGGCGACAAGAAGGAGTGGACCAAAGAGGAACTGGTCAGTCAACTCAAACCGATGTGTAAGTATCCTTAACCCATCCGCCTGGATTAATAGCGGCTATTTCACTGATGGGACAGTTTTTCCGGCAGTTTTCAGCGAAGACGAACCGGATGCGACGAACGAGATCGAGATTTCCACGGCCGAAACGGTGGAAGCGATCGTGAGTCAGCTGATGGAGAAGCAACGAATGGCACGGCAGTCGGCCCTGGTGAAGCAGCTCGAGTGTGGTTGTCCGGATGCGAACTGTGTCGATGGGAAGAGTTGTTCCCATCCGATGAGGAGGATCAGTGCGGCCAAAAGTGAACTGGGCAAACGGCCCGATGGAGGACATCTCGCGGGAACGGCGCCGAACGTGTTGATTGGATCGAGGGTGAGTATTCCCCAACCTCTCAGACTGTTAATTCAAATTTACAATCTAAAGCAACCACCTCAGTAATCACCATCAATCGTCTTCAATTTAGCACCAATCAACAGCTCCATAAGATAAATCCCAATCTTCTACATTGACCGCAAAATCTCAATCTAAATCTTCCCCCATCTTTCTACCTCCCACGCCACCCCTTACAGATGTATCCCCGTTGGATCGACAGTCGGCGTGCACGGGAAGCACAACTCCAACAGTCCCACGGCAATAGTCTCCTGGACGGCAACACCAACGGCAACCGATCCTCCATCGCACCGAAGGACAACACTTCGATACATTTCCAAGTCATTCCTACCTCTCAGCAACTGAACCACTCCAACAGCAACAGCAACAACAATCCAAATTCAATTAGAACAATTGCTGGCAATCACCCTCATCATCAGCAGCAGTCTTCGTCGGTAGTGGTCAGCAGCAGTAGTAGTAATTTAACCCTCACCCAGCATCTCAACTCGTTGAACAACAATAACAGTAACTCACAATTAACAAGTGTCAGTAGTCATATTACAAACGGACTGGTGGCCAGTGCCCAGCATTTGGCTGCGGCCCAGCAGCAGCAGCATCGGAGTCATATGATCATCGCTAGCAATAATTCGTCGTCCTCACCTTCGTCCGCGGCTTCCGGCAATAGCAGCAATAGCAGCGGTTCCGCGGCCAACAATCAATTAACCGCGAGCCATCCTAATAACGGTCGCGACCCCAGCATAAATCTCACGGCTAATGGCGAGAATCATATATCAATGCTTGGCCATCATCACCCACAGTCGTCGTCAGCGAGGGGTTCAGGTGGGGTACCGTCGTCGTCGTCGTCGTCGTCAAGCGATGGTGTCAATCAGAGGCCATCATCACAACAGCAGCAGCAGCAACAGCAGCAGCAGCATCAGCGACAGGAGGATGGGGGTAGCAATAGCAATAATAATGGTGTTGGCGGTGGCCATCATAATCACATTACGGTTAATAATGGTGCGGTTAGCAGTGCGTCAATGGTCAACTCGAGTGGGGGTGGAACGCCCTCACTGGTGCTGAGCTTGTCACAGGTGAGTGGGGGTAAAAATGTGATTGATGAAGTGCTAGTAGGTCGGTCGAGTTAGACTAGATGCATTTATGTCACATGGAAAATGAAAATGTATCACAGTTTTGTATGAACGTTGAAGAAAGCATTGTTTATTTTATCTTAAATCCGTCCGATCTCTGCTTAATAATAATGGAATTAAATTTTTTTTTGGGCGTCTGTCCATGATTTCCATAAAGCTCTCTTTGGGGACGTGCACTAATTACGTTACCCCTCCTCCTCTTTCCATCATAACATTTTGTAAGTTTTTGATTAACCCCCCTTCCCTTCCCAACAAATTTTACTAAGATTTTCCAATTTACCAGGTTTAAACTAGAGCTGGGACTTCAACTATACAATTATTTCAGTTTTCATAATAAAAATACTTTCAGACAAATGCAATATCGTTCTTTCTACTGCCCAATATTGGAATAAAATAAATTTAGAAAGCGTTGAGAAGGTTATCAAGCGGATAGTAACTATGTGGATATTCGGATATCCTGATATCCGGAAATCCGGATAGTGAAATTTCAAATTTATTCTCCCTTTAACAGTTTTCTTTTTTACTGTTCTAAATATTTCTAGATAGAGCTGGAATTAGGGCGTAACAGCTTTTGTAAACAATGACTTCTATCGATGATTTCTCGGAAGGCATGGTTCTCCCTGACAAATCGACTTCACCATCGAGTAAAGGAAGACTTCTCCTACCCGATAGATATGTTGGTTTGTGTAGGCATGCCTTGAATACCGAGAAATGAATAAGAGAAGTCATTGCTTACAAAGGCTGTTACGCCCTAATTCCAGCTCTATCTAGATTTGTCAAAAAGTTGGTTTTTAGGTGCTTATGTGACCTGATGTGGAATGATAGATCTGTTAATTGCCTAAATTTACAAAATTGAAAAATAAAAATATCCGGATCCCGTGTCTCAGCACTAGTTTAAACATTTAGTTAAAAAATTATTGATGGGGTTGTGTACAAGACACGACCGCATGGTTGACGTAGACTACATTATGCTGTTCAGTGAACTTCTCATGCTTTTTATAGATATTGATTTAAAATACAGTAGAAGAAACCTATTATATCGGTCCTATGTAAATATTTTGTAATTTATACCGACTTTTCGGACACATTTGCTATTCTTTTTTTAAACTCTTTATGTTTTCCAAATTCAAAACAAATTACATTTCATTTTAACCTAGGTGCTCCAAATACTATAGTAACTTACCAACCTTAATTGTTATGATATATATCTAAGTGTTTTTACATTGTTCCTGCCTTGGAAATTCAGTATTTTAAACAGATTTTTTAACCTGCATGTCAGTATAACAATTGAAATCTTAAAACTAAAAACTAAAACTAAATCTTATCTAAGTATAAAGGGAATTAATCGTTGCAATTGAGGATTGCAACGATTTTTGTCTGAAATTATTAATTATTTTGTTGGACATTTGTTCTAAAGTCTCAACATTCGAAATTCTATGTACTTCGGTAGTACTGTAGCAGGGTGGCAACTTCAAAATCATTTTCAGAACTTTGTTCTGAATCCTTTGAAGTGCTTTTTTCCTGGAAATGCAACAATTAGACCATATTGGTACAGCGTAAAGCATGGCTGGTCTAAACACTTGTTTAAATATTAGAAGTTTATTCGTCAGGCAAAGTTTGGATTTCCTGTTTATAAGAGGATACAAACATTTTAAACATATTTGTTACATTTGGCTTGAATGCCCTCAATGTGATCTTTAAAAGTTAATTTTTGGTCAAGTATTAATCCAAGATATTTCACTTGGTTTGACCAGGAAATTGGAACTCCGTTCAAAGTGACTTTGTGACTACTACTAGGTTTCAAAAACGAAGCTCTAGGCTTATGTGGAAATATTATAAGTTGAGTTTTGGAAGCGTTGGGAGAAATCTTCCATTTTTGTAAATATCTAAACTTTTCTGCAGTCTGCTGCAAATAACACGAAGACTTCTTCCTTTAGCGGAAATGCCTGTGTCATCAGCGAACAAAGATTTGTGGCAACCCTGAGGCAAATCAGGGAGTTCCGAAGTGAAAATGTTATTCAAACAATATAGGTCCAAGAATGCTACCCTGAAGGACTCCTGCTCTACCAGGTAGTCGTTCAAATTTGGAATTTTGATGATTTACCTGCAGAGTTCTGTCAGTTAAATAATTTTGAACTAATTTCATAATGTACAGTGGAAAATTAAACTTTTTCAATTTAGCAATCAAACCTTCATGCCAAACACTGTCGAATGCTTTTTCTATGTCTAGAAGAGCAACTCCAGTTGAGTGGCCTCAGATTTGTTTGAACGAATTAAATTGGTAACTCTTAAGAGTTGATGAGTAGTTGAATGCCCATGGCGAAATCCAAACTGCTCATCTGCAAAAATTGAGTTCGTATTGATGTGAAGCATCATTCTATTTAAAATTATCTTTTCAAAAAGTTTACTTATTGAAGAAAGCAAACTTATTGGACGGTAGCTAGAAGCTTCAGCTGAATTTTTATCCGGCTTCAAAATTGGAACAACTTTTGCATTTTTCCATTTATCAGGAAAGTATGCCAAATGGAAACATCTGTTAAATAATTTTACCAAGAAAGACAAGGTACTCTCTGGGAGTTTTTTGATGAGGATATAGAAAATTCCATCATCACCTGGAGCTTTCATATTTTGAAACTTTTTAGTTAAAGATCTTACTTCGTCCAAATCAGTCCCCCAGGAAGCATCAAAAATATATTCCCGAGAGAAAATATTCAGATAACCCCGAGCAACCTGATTCTCAATAGGACTTGTAAGACCCAAACTGAAATTATAGGAGTTTTTGGAATTGCTAAGCAAGTTTCTGAGCTTTTCCGAATTTGTGATCAAAATTTTACCACCTTCTCCAAGCGCTGGAATAGTCTTTTGAGGTTTTTTTTTTCAAAAATCTTGTGAGTTTCCAGAAGGGTTTGGAACTCGGGTCTAATTTCGACACATTATTTTCAAAATTTTTGTTCCTCAGGGCAGAGAATTGGGTTTTAATTTGTTTTTGCAAATCCCACCAAATAATTTTCATGGCAGGAACGCGTGTTCTTTGATATTGTCTCCTACGGACATTTTTAAGACGGATCAAGAGTTGAAGATCGTCGTCTATTATAATTGAATCGAATTCAACCTCGCATTTTGGTACTGAGGCAGGTCTTGCTTCAACTATAGAAGTAGTCGGAGATTCAAAAGGAATGTTTGGATCGAAGCTTTATTCCATAAATGTTCGATACTGCTCCCAATCAGCTCTATGGTAATTGAAAGTAGAGCTGTTGGGATAAGACATTATTTCTAGTAATATTTCAAAAGTTACTGGAAGGTGATCAGAACCGAAGTCAGCATGGGTTACCAATTGGCTACAAAGTTGATATGAATCAGTTAAGACCAAATCAATAGTTGAGGGATTTCTTGCTGAAGAAAAGCATGTTGGGCTGTTTGGATATTGAATAGTGTAATAACCTGCAGAAAAATCATTTTCAGAATAATACCATTGGTATTGCTTTGAGCATTATTCCATGAGCGGTGTTTTGCATTAAAATCACCAATAATGAAGAATTTAAACCTATATAAGGATAAGTTGCTGAAGGTCACTTTTGAAGAAATTCTTTTGCTGGCATACGCATTGGAATGGCAAATAGGCGGTAAACGTAAGTTGTTCAAACTTTGTTTCGACCGAAACTCCCAAAGTTTCAAAAACTTTGGTTTCAAATGAAGAAAGAATATTGTGTTTGATTCGTCTATGAATAATGATGGCAACGCCACCACAGGGTCCATCAAGACGATCATTTCTATAAATTAAATAATTTGAGTCGTTCCTAACCTTATGGTCAGGTTTAAGGAACGTTTCAGTTATAACGGAAATATGCACGTTATGAACTCTCAAAAAGTTAAATAGCTCATCTTCATTATCTTTAAGCGATCGAGCATTCCAATTTAAAATATTCAATGATTTAAAATCCATTACTGAATTTCAAAGTCATGACAATATTGTTCGCAAATTTTACTCCAGTTTGAATAGCATCAAACATGGAGTTAGATTTAAGCATATCTGTAATCATGTCAATTAATGATTTCTGTAAAAATTCCATTTTAGGAGCAGTAATGTCTCCTAAGTCAAAATTTTCAAAATTTCCGTTAGAACGTTGGTTAGTATTTTGATTTCTACCCGTGCAATAGCCGCATAGGTAGCTCCACTAACTCGCTGAACATTGTTAGCAGCGAGGGGAGTAGGTATAGATGAAGAATTTGAAGCAGGAGTGATATTTGTACCTACGGGTAGGAATGTAGAATTTGTTCCTCGCTGACCGTTGTTAACAGCAGAGGAATTTGTACCATTTCGGGAACGTGGAGCATTTCCTACCTGTACCTTAGAACAAGATTGTAGGATCGCTTTGAGAGTCTTACATTCCCAAAAATTGGATTTGTTGTTTTCACCACAATTTGAACATTTAAATTTCTTAGGATCTTCTTTCACAGGACAGTCGTCCTTTGCGTGAGAGGAATCACCACAATTCATGCATTTAGCTGGCATGTAGCAATTTTTAGTTCCGTGACCCCATCCCTGGCACTTACGGCACTGAGTGAGGTTTTGGAAATTTCCTCCAGTCTTCCTGAAGTGTTCCCACTTCACTCGAACATGGAGCATAAGGCTAGCTTTTTCTAAGGCCTTAAGGTTGTTTAGTTCACTAGACTTGAAGTGAACTAAATAAAAATCATTAGAAATCCCGTTGCGCGAATCGCCAGGACGGGATTTCATTTTCATTTTGATTACTTGGAGTGGCACAACTCCAAGTAATTTTGCCAGTTCATCTTTGATCTGATCCAGGAATTCACCACTGGGCAGTCCTTTCATGACAACCTTGAACACACGTTCGGTTTTGGTGTCGTAAGTAAAAAAAATGTGCTGCTTCTCAGTAAGATACTTGAGAAGACATTTAAATCCGTCCAAGGTTTCAGCCAAT